GTCTGTAACCAAACTCACGACACCTCTGATACGCAACGCTCGGCCGCTGGTCGATTTTTCTGTACTAAACGCCCTAGTCAGACTCCTTTGTAATGGGGTTAGTAGTTAAGGGGGGATTGGGAGCATTGTTGGCATGTGTGAGCAATGAAAGGGCTCCTTGTGTCTCAAAAGACCGCCTGCAGACCGATAATGTCAGTCTAATGTGGAATTACTCGGATCGGGAAAACGGGTTATGCAAATTTATCATTCCATGTTGCATCATACATGAAGCCACCAGAAGCAAGACCTGTGGGTACTTCCCATGCTGGTTGCATTTACTAAGTGAAAGCGCATTTTGTTTTCCATTTGTGAATAATCTAATTTGTCTTGTTCTGAAAGCAGTCTGTTTTAGCAACGCCTGCCCGAGAACTTCAGCAAACACCAACTTGTTTTTCCTAATTTGTAAGGAACCACTAATTAATAGTAGCACTTGTTTCTCCTAAAGGTCGATAAAATCGCACTAGTTCAACTTCCAAAAATGGTTGTAATGTTTCTTCCAAGTGCAAGATATCTGGCTTAGCTTATCATTGAATGTTGGCAGTAGTTGTGTACCCTGAAGCCCTTTCAACTCACATTGCCAAGTTAGAGAAAATGGTAAATTAGCCTTGTATAACGCACCGTTGTAGTTTCTCCAACAATACCAGAATGTTTAAACGGCAATTAGCTATTGAATAAATAAATATGTATAATTTTGCTCAAGTGCAATGTCTGTAGCTTATAAGGAATAAACAATGTTTTCTTAATATAAAGACCATGCAGGGACCTTGTTTTCTTGGTACTCAAAAATACGCTCTTAAGGTGTGTTCACATTTCAGAAATTTTATGTTATCATTTGTTAAAAGTGTAGCGATGAAGCATAGCTCACACTTAAGTAACTTTCGAACCAAGCGGATTTCGGTTCCCAATCATTCTGAAACCATTTCGTAATCTATGTGGGGAAATCTTTTGCCCTCACATGATTCCCAATTGCATGGATTCATATTGAAATCGATAGATTTCACCCATGAAAATTTGCCGAACAGCAGTAATTGTGACCGCACCTTTGCACTTTCTTAAATGTAAAAATTGTGCTGGAGCAAATAAAGCACTAGAAAGTCTCATGGTTGATTCATTAGCCGAGATTGCAGTTGTGACATGTCTGTATTCTGTGTTTGCCAAAGGCGTCAACATTTTGGCCATCAAATGTTCTCTTCTCTTGCAGTATCTCTGTCTCTTCATAGGCCTCCACCGGCGCGGTGCAAGCCTATTGTAAACTCAAGTGAACTAAAACTGAAAGGGGATACCAGTGGAGTAACATAATGTTACCTTAAGTTACTACTTGTTTGTATTTTTTTTAATTTACTCATTATGTAGTAATTCTTGGAATAATGTAATTTTATATATGTAACTGTAATTTTATATGTACACTGTAGTATTTCTGTATCACTGTAGATTTTAATTAAAAAAATGTGAGCATTGATGTAATTTAAAGACTCGCAACTGCTAGCTGCTCTGTAGAGTTTGACATTGTGCAGTTTTGTGCAACTAAGCCTTGATGTTTCATTGGCATGTGCTACTTTTTTTGGGTTTGGTTGTAGCGCTTAAGATTTTACCTAAAAAATGACACTGAGCACATTTTGATCTTGCTGTTTAATTTGAAATAATTGAATTCTTTGTCTCTGAATTGTGTGGAAAACACAGTAGGCTATAACATCTGTCTTTTGCATTGCAGGTCTTCCTGTGGGACATGGATAAGTACACTCTGATCCGTAAGCTGGAGGGCCATCATAACGACGTGGTGTCCTGCGAGTTCTCTCCTGACGGGGCCTTGCTGGCCACAGCGTCCTACGACACCCGTGTCATCATGTGGGACCCTCATACAGCCACCGCTCTGCTCGAGCTGGGGTACGTGACTTGTTTTTCCACCCCCTTTTCCTCTTCTAGCTCTGTGTGATTTCTTTCTCAAGCTCATGTTGTTTAACTGATCTCTTATCTTTCCTTCAGGCATCTCTTCCCTCCTCCCTCACCCATATTTGCAGGAGGAGCAAATGATCGATGGGTTCACTCTGTCGCCTTTTGTCATGACGGTCGGCACATTGCCAGCGTCACTGATGACAGGTAAGATAATGCAAACACTCGGTTATTTGCTTTTGAAAACTCAACATTGATCGTTTGTGTTGCAGATAGTAGCCTGCATTAAGCATTAGGGCGATAGGGGCTCTGGAAGGAGTGTGTGATTTGTTGCATGGCCTCTTTCTGGGAAAGATCACATGCCTCTCATATGACGTCCATTAATCACTATGAGGCTCCCAGTTTGCCTTCACCGTGCCTCCTGCTGATTCTGTGTGGAGGCGCCTCTCTCTCGTATTGAGAGAATGAAACCATTTGTGCTCTACAAAATGCACTTACTGTGCATATGATTTGTTTTGAGGTTAGGTGCAAATGATAGGACCATTCTTTTGTTCGCCAAGGCTGTTTACTTGATCAAAAATACAGTCATTTAAAAGACCCATTTTAAATTTTAATATAATGTAATTTATTCCTGTGATGGCAAAGCTGAATTTTGTAACCTTATAAATGGCTCTACTGTCAATTTTGTTTATCGGTTTTAGTGTGTCCTTGCCGAAAAAAAGTATTAAAATCTTACTGACCTCAAATTTTGAACAGTACTGTATAAAATCATTATTTAAAAGTTATTTTAGGCAAATTTCATACTTTTAGTTTCATGTTTATTTGCTTTAAAAGTTATGCAAGACACTGGAAACCGCAATCAACTTGTATTTTCATTTTTCAGGCTGGTGCGTTTCTGGAGCATCGATAAGAAGAGTCCTCAAGCCATCGCCCCTCTCACTAACGGCCTCTGTTGTGCCTTTTCTACTGACGGAAGCGTCTTAGTTGCCGGGTACGAATTTGTTACTCCATTGTTTGATTTGTAGTGTTACTACATCTGTATCTTGGCTTCTAACTGTTCTTCTGTTTTGAGATGAAGCCAAAAATAACTTTCATCACTTTGTTCAAAAGTATCCTGAACGATCTATTATAAAAGAAGTGCACCAAACCGGTTCTGCAGCCTGCTTTGTATATGAAATTATTTAGATGAGTTGGCTGTCCCACATACACTCATACTTTTCTGCATGATAGCAGTCTCGCAAAGCTGAATTGGCAAGTTGTACTGTATAAACACAACCAGACCTTGTTCAAGATGACATTTGATCATGTGTCAGTGCCAAGTTAAATAAACTAAATGGCAGCCAATTGTCTTTTCACAGGTCTCGTGACGGCAGCGTGCATTTCTGGGCTTCTCCACGCAGCATTGCGAGCCTCCAGCACTTGTGCCGCTTGACCCTGCGGCGAGTCATGCCCACCCAGCAGGTTTATACGCTGCCCATTCCTTTCTCCATGCACGACTACCTGGCATACAAGACGCTTTAAGTTGGAACGCAAAACACGGCACTCTGTGAAACCAATGAAATGTGTGGTTTTTGTTTTTTTCTTAAAAAAAAAAAAAATTCTGCTCAAACCTATTCCTAATGAAGGTGAGGTTGGTTCTTTTTGTATTTATTTATTTTTCTAATTTTTTTGAAAGTTTAGTTTTCCTAGTTGCAAGTGTATTTCAATGCTTTGTTCAAATTTGTCCTTTTTTGTTTTTTTTAGCCCATGTTAGGTAGTGGCCTTCAAACAGCCTTAATATATCAGCGGACCATGTTATCTTTTTTTTTTTTTTTCTGGCACAATTTGTACAGCACCTTAGAGTTGGTAAATGATGGGTGAAAGTGGTGCTTTCTCTAGCTCAGTTTAAGGTATTCCTAAACTGAGTTTAAAGTGATGTTACGGGGGATTGTCTCCCGAATGTTCTGCAGTGTTTTCTTTTTCCTTGCTGGCTGTGAGAGGGATTGAAGGGAAGTGACAAGGTGAAAATGTGTATGTGCATGTGATGAAATATAGTTGGGTAGTTCAGGGACAGGCAGTGCCTCCCCTTGACGTGCCTATTTAGAGAAAATAAACATCCACACGCTTATGCTGCTTCAGTAACAGCTTTCATCATCACAAATCTTAACACTTCAGTAACACATGGGTTAATTTGTTTCCTCCACAAATTGTATATTTTTTATCTGTACAGAGATTTGTAAAGGCACGTGTATATACATATGTTTGTATAAATATATATATATATAGCTTAAATTTTTTTCCATGCTTCTCATACACATCACTTTATAATGCTTGTATTGAAAGTATGTTCTGTACATGGTCTTCTTTTGTAGGGGAATGACACAAAAGTTTGCTTCGAGGAGAAGCTGCAAACTAGTTTGATGAGATTTTAACTAACCAGCAGCGAAATTGATGCCACATCTTTGATTTCTCGTTCCAAATAAATTGCCACTGACTTCCACTTGCTGTATCTGCTATGAAATATGGCACTTTCACCTGGCCTTACACATTCTCACCACTTAACTCACAATCGAACCTCATTCTGTTAACACTTTGACATTTGCCTTGTGCGTTTTAACAACGAGCCAAAGTGAGGTTTTGTTTGGGCATGTCTCATCTACCTCTCATTTTGAGGAACTGGTTTATTGGATGTCCTGGAACAAAAAGGCATGGTTCTGTTTATTGATTGTATAACGCATGTGAAACTGCCTGTCATTTAAAGCAATTGAATGGTATCAATTAAGAATGTGGCAAATACATCTGGTCATGGTCTTGGCAATAAAAATGTGTTGGAAAAAGCTGACGCCAAAGATCCCCTTGGGTTCTTATTGATATGATTGGCATCTTTATATGTATGTCTGTTTTTCTGCTTGGGTGTATGAAGAATGCTGATGTTCAACAGATTGGGTTTTCTGTAGACCAGTGGTTCTCAAACCTCTCCATGAAGTACCCCCAGCACTGCACATTTTGTATGTCTCCCTATATCTGACAAACCCACTTCAGGTCTTGCAGTCTCCACTAATGAGCTGATGAGTTGAATCAGGTGTGATAGATGAGGGAGACATACAAAATATGCAGGGCTGGGGGTACGCCAGGACAGGTTTGAGAACCACTGCTATAGACGGATTCCTATAAAGTAGATGTAGAAAGGATACATAGATGCACTTCAGTGTTCAAACCAAAATGCTAGTAGTTGCAGTTTTTTAGAATAGGGTGGTAGTTTTCAAACAATGAATATAGAGATGCTTGGAAACTAGTTAATTTGTCCAACTTTCAGACAAATAGGTCTACTTAATGCTCAACAGGAGCAAGTGAATTTGTCAACAAAAAGTCATTTTATGAGAATGTTGTGGGGGTTTGTTTGTTTTATGATTGTTGTCGAAATAAAGTATTTTAAATCATTTTGTTGTCTTGAAGTTTTTTTAATATATATATATATTTTACATTTGTGTAATGACAAACTGAATTTTATTCAGCCATTATTCCAGTCTTCTGAAATCATTCTAATATGCTATTTTGCTGCTTAAGAAACATTTATCAATACTTAATATTTGTGATGAATCTGATATTTTTTATGATTAAAAGTTCAAATATACATTTACTTTTGTAACAAATGTCTTTGTTGCTTTTTTAACCAATTTAATACATCCTTGCTGAAGATAGATAGATAGATTTTACAAATTATTTACTTGTATTGAAATATTTATATATTGGTATTATAATGAAAATGTGCAAAAAATAGGCCTACATAAATATAAAAACCTTTCATTTTCTATATCCATGAGCAAAAAGCAGCAAGGGCTTGGTAGCTCTCAGTTCAGTGGGTTATTGACCCATCGATGACTGTAAAAACAAGAATCACTGTGAGATTTCACAGCTGTGCTAATCTTCCCAGGCTCCACATAACAAACAAGTCACTCCTCAAGAACCCTTACAGAAAACAGCATTCCAACCTTCAGCCCTATCGCAACTTAAAACTGCTAGAGTTAGATACGTACTGATCACTTTGATTTCATATTCATTCAAATCATTTCTTTCAGAAATAATTTAACTTACAGAAAACAGCATTCCAACCTTCAGCCCTATCGCAACTTAAAACTGCTAGAGTTAGATACGTACTGATCACTGATTTCATATTCATTCAAATAATTTCTTTCAGAAATAATTTGTCAATGTTTTCTTGAGCTTACATTCCACAGAGTGTGGAAACTTACTGAACAGCCTGAGTGTTTTAGACTCTGTCCAAAAGGCATGAAAGGTCATTATCGGGTTTATTATTGACTAGCAGCGGTAATGCTATCGGGTTAAATATTAAGACCTACTGCCAATAAAACTGAAGCTTCAAAGAGACTAAATCATTACTGCGGGAGGTATAAACCACCGCACGTTTCACACTCGAGTCATTACGGCCTGGAATATGAATCTGGATCCATCTGAAATCTTCCTTGTGTTTTTCAGCTTGTTCTGTATACGTCGTGACCTCTCTAGAGTGACTCAACTTCCAGATGTTTCTACAGCCCGAAGCATACAGGAGACAAAGACCGGTTAAGCGAGATATATTAAGGTCACAATGGTCTTTTCAATGGCCTTGAGAAGGAAAAAATGTTGCAAAATTTGTGTGTTAGAGGTTTACAAGATTAAGAAATAAGTGATTGATGCCACAGAATGAGTTATAGATACTGAGTCCATGCAATTTAAAATAAAGCAGTTCAATGAAAGCACAGTGCGGACAGATTCAGTCACTTATATCCTGCAATCTACGAAAAGGTCAGCTGCACTGGTCTGGATTGCTATTTCTAACCTTAAAGTGTAAAAAGAGCAGATGGATCCAGGGTTACGAAACTACATCTGATCTGACATAGCGCTGGTCTGCAGAGCTGGGCCTGTGGATCATTAGGCCAAAACATACCACACCAGTATGATACATTAAACAGATATGTGCTTCCTTGTATAGACAAATATATATAAATATACGCCTATCTAGTTATTATTGTTGTTAGATACAATTTTCACATGACTTTTATATATATAGTATAGACAAATATAGATAAATGTACGCCTATTTAGTTATTATTGTTGTTATATACAATTTTCACATGACTGTCCCTTTTATTTATTTATTTTTGATATATTATGCTCACCCTATCTGATCTGTTAAGGGGTACTGTGTGCAGCTATCAGATGTGAGCAGATAATAAATCCTGTCTGTCTTATGTAACATTGCCATGGAAGTGAACTTTACAAGCAACATTCCAATGCCATACAGGCTGTGCTCAGTTAGTCATCTAATATCTACATACATTAATTATTTTTTAAGGAAATCACACGATGGCCTATCTTTAGTTATTTTTTTGTGGTCAAGATGTTCATTTTATTAGTATTTTTTGCTCATCAAGCAAGTTTTTATTTTTATTTTTAAATATTGCTTTCATTAGTATAGGTTTAAATATGTGAATTAAAATACAATTATATTACAGTAGGCTATTATTATAGTCCCAAAGGATCTTTATTCTTTAAAAGCCTGTTTCTCACATTTATTTTTATTTTATTATTTTTCAGCGAGTTCTTTTCTGCCTAAAAGCAACCAGTATGGGAATCCATTCATCCATTCCGTAAATGCTGCCAAGGTTCACTAGAATCTGACACGACGGTCAGGGAGAGCAGCGTGACCGTATCCATTTCCGGCTGTGCGTGTATTCCCACTCTGATTGCTTCAGCGGCTCAGGCTCAGGCTCTGACTAGTGTGAGTGAAAGGACAGTGAGCGCGCGCTATCTAGCTGCAGCTGCTGTAGTCATACTGTACGCCTTGAATAAATGAATTTCCATTCAAGACAGCATGCAGCTAATTTTTTTTCTGGATCGCTTTTAAGCCAAACATATTGTATGTAAACCTGTAAAAAGTATTTAAAATAAAAATGTAGCCTATAAATATATTAAATAGGCTATATTTAGTATTTATACATTTTTTCCTAGTGATAAATTGTCGTGAGGTGTGTGTGTGTGTGTGTGTGTGTGTGTGTGTGTGTACACACACATACTTGTATTTGTGATATATATGATAAAAACCATCACTGAATTAAACATTTAATATAGTTTATACACATTTCATTTAGTCAGTCTTTTCTTAACTCCA